TATACTCTGACACGTTACCTTCATATCCGCTATGATCGAAAACTATCTTCCTTTAGATCACGAGAGACAGATAGCACCGACTGGTGCTGGTATCATAATCAGTACGGAAAATCTCGAAATTGCAGAAAACACTTCGATTTTCCGGACTTCAAACCGGCCAGCATGAAAAACGTTTCGGGGAACATTCCAGCTGGCACAGGTTAACGGCAACAGTGACCGACGAACATAGCCATCTGTTATGTGTCACTGATGTGATTACGAAAGTCCGCTGCCCCGTCGACTCTAGCGCACAAGTTAGCGTTCTTCCAGGGAACTCTGGTGACGGACTTCACGAACCGGGTTTAAACTTACGGGCGGCAAACAGAAAACCGACCGCCACATACGGCAAACGGCATATCTATCTTAACGTGGGTTGACTCAAAACCATCCACTGGTTTTTCGTTTTCGTAGATGTTTCTATGCTAATCATTGGTATAGACCTGCTACAACATCATAATTTACTCGTCGACACGCGCAAACGGAGTTTAGTGGACGGAAATACTAATTTCTCTGTTTGCGTAACTTGTTTTTCCTGTTGCTGATTATCCCCGGGCACAGTAAGAGGCACGATCGACACATACTTCCAAAGATATTCGATAAGTTATCTGAGATACATCAAACTCAACCGAAATCGCCATGTGTCGCTAGCAATGTTACGTATCACATCACGACTACAAGACCAATTGTGTTCTCGAAAGCGCGCTGACTGGCTCTCGAGAAGCTGAGGTTGACCGAAAACGATTTCAAAACATGATGGATTTAGGAATCATTTAGCCGCCAAATAGTCCATGGGCATCTCCCTTGCATACGGTCCCTAAAAAGGACAGCAACGATTGGCGTCCAACTGGTGACCATTGGCGATTGAATGCAAAAGTCATTTCCAATCGTTGACAGCTACCTTGGAAGGTACAATTTTCTTTTCGAAAATCGACTTGGTAAAAGCTACTGACGATACACTGAAAACCGCTATCATCATAACTTTCGATCTTTACGAATTTTCGCACATTCCTTACGGCTTAAGAAGTTCTTCCAAGACATTCCAAACGTTTAAAGATGACGTTTTTCGAGGTCTCAACTTCGTAAATGCGTATGTTGATGACTGCCTAATAGCAAGTCCGGATAGAGAATCCCATCTTTAACACCTGCACCTTGTTTTCGAAGGACTACAAATGCACAGCGTTAATGTAAACATTCTAAAATGCCGAATCGGAACAGAATCCCTAGATTTACTCTGATACACTATTGATGCTCAAGACATCCAACCTCGTAAAAGCAAAGACGTGGCCATTCTAGATTATTCAGAACCGACCACGATCAAGCAATTAAGCACGTTAAACGGCTTAGTAAGTTTCCATAGACGATTCATACAAAACTGAGCGTCCCTTATGAAACCTCTAATCGACGAACTTTGTGAAAATGCAAAATCCATCGATTTGGACGATACCACACGAAATGCATTTTCCACAATTAAGGAACTATTCTCAAGAGCGACTATGCTTGCACACCAGGACACCGAATCACCAATTAATATCTCAGTAAAAGCATCCAAATCGACAATCGGAGGATTCTTATAACAATAGGCTAACCACTCCTGGCAACCTTTGGCAGTTTTCTCAAGACGGTTGCTAGACACTGAATCGAGGTATAGCACTTTCGGTAGAGAACTTCTAGCCATGTATTGTGCTGTACGTCACTTTCAACACTATACTGAAGTCCGAGAATTCACTCTTTTCAGATACCATGAACCTCTTACTTTCTGTTTAAGCTCATCTTCAGACAAGTACTCTCCTCGTGGGTCTCAACGTTTGGACTATATTCCATAGTTTACTACAGATATACAACACATTTGTGGGGCAAATAGTGTAGTTGCAGACGCATTGTTTCGTATAACTTCCTTGAACATTTTTCAAGGAATCGGTCTTCCTAAATTCTCCCAGCTTCAATAAGAAGACATTGATCTTCAGCACGTGTTATCCTCAACAACTGTTAAACTGAGATTAAACATATGGGAACAGGTAAGGAAACCTTATCAGCAACACATCTACAGTTGGGGATCGTCCGATCGTTCCGAAACATTATCGACGCAACGTCTTCAATACGTTGCAAAAACTTTCTCATCCACATGTTCGTGCAACCATCAAGCTTATAGAACGGTTTTACTGGCCTGGTGTGAATAAAGACGTCTTGAAGTGGCCACACTCCTATGTCAGCTGTCAGAAGTCTAAGGCGATTAGACATGGCAGTTGTCCTCTAGGCTCTTTGACAACTCTCGACGCTCGTCTCGACCATGTTCATCTGGATTTGGCAGGACCCTCATTATATTCAAATTGGTAGTCTTACCACTTAAAATATGTAGCCCATTTCCCACGATGGTCAAGATTAGCACCCATCAAGGACATTACTGATGTAACGGTGGGCCGCCTCCTCGTCGAATGATGGATGGCAAACTTTGGCTGCTCTCCAACTATCACTACAGGCCGTGGAAACCAGTACGAACCTGGACTTTTCCGTTTCCTACTACACTACTAGGAATCATACAAATCATAACAACCGCCTTTCACTCACAAACATACGGGTTGGTAGAACACTTTCACCCACAGCCTAAAGCTTCCCTGTCAGCTGCAAACGTTTCGCAGTGGATCGATGGTCTTTAACTCGTCTTACTTTGTGTTCGCAACGTAGTGAAGGCTGACATTGGATACATTTTAGCTCAACTCGTTTATGGAACGACACTCCGACTTCCAGGAGCATTCGTGGATCCTTCATCTTCTTCAAGAAATATGGATCTAAATTTTCACACGAGCAGGCTTACAAACGCAATGCGTTCAGTTAAACGCGTTTCCGTTAGACCGCAATCGACCGATGTTTTCGTCGAACCTGCCCTACGATATAGTACACGCGTCTTCGTACGTCGCGACTCACTTCGACGGCCACTCGAAACGACATACGAAGGACCGTTCAGAGTTCTTCAGAGCGACACCAAGTACTATATAATCGGTAAGAACGAAGCTAACGATAGCATCAGCACTGAACGCCTCAAAGCCGCGTATTTAGAAGGAAACCGTATTCATGTTGATCTTCTCCCAGTTCAGTCGAAAGACACGATTCCCAAATTTACGATAACTCAACCGAAAACCAATAATCATGGTGACACTTTGATGTTATCTGACAGCGGACTCAAAACAACGCGTTCTGGAAGAAGAGCAAGGTTTCCTGAATAATTTAACTAGTCCGTGTAGGACACTGCATAACATTTTGTCCCACCTAAATTTCTTTGTATTGTTATGTCAAAAGACCGAAGACAAGTATTACGTTTTCTAATATGCTCATATATATGTGTATATCTTTTATTATCTTTTTCAGAAGAGTCCAAAAATTATTTTAACGCTTTTTCATGTTAACAAAACGCATATATACCAATCTTTCTTCGTTTTTCGCCCATTGTGTGTTTTTACCTACGTACAAGTGTATTTTGACATTCACACGCAATTTCTTTTTATCTAGGACGGACAGAAAAGAGGAAGTACGGACGAAGATTACGATGATGGCTATGTTATACAATATAGCCCCTTGTGTTAGGGAAATACAACCAGACGCTTCCGAACATAACAATCCATCAGCGGAGTGTCTACCAACGACAAGCTCTCAGTTGTAAACTTCTGGCTATCCATATTTTGGGGTCATCACTACCCCGCCAGGGAAGTGAGCTGAAGCGGTTAATAAGTCATCGAAATGAATAGTGCTGTAGGTAATTGAAACTGATGCTGGCCCTGTTAATTTTACTGAACACATCTAGCTGAAGGCGCTCGGCCACGCATGCGCACCAGATCACGTGTGGGTATGCTGTGCGGTGCATTCCTTTCAGCTGTGAACCACTTTAAACCAAACGTTCTTCGACATCCGATAGCCCTCTGAATATGTCTTCGAACCACTTTGTCTCTGACTTCTGATCCGAATACCCTTGGCATCTTTACTTGTATAAGTACTTTCCGTCAATAGCGTTGATAAAACTGGTTCCAAGAGATCTTCAAGCTTAGTTGTTCTCAGCAGTGAATTACTGTCACTTTATGTCTTTCAAAATGCCACTGTGACTAACTGTGTTTGTTCTGAATACCTTTTTCACCAACGTATAAATTTTATATTTGTACATTCTTTAAAACTCCAGCCCTACATGGTGTTTCACGTTGTCGGCTTACAGCTGTCTTCTGTGTGCCTAGAAACGCACCGTTGCTGCTCCTTATTTCTTAGAAGCCGAAGTTGTATGTTTCTGAATTCATCACTTCAAACACCATCTGAATAATTAAAAGTATTCTCCATCAGCACAGTGAAATATCATCGAGGATTATAAACTTTGGTTGAAACTATTCCTAGCATCGAACAAAAATGATTTCCAAAATTATCACCCAAAAGCACTATGACTTGTAAACGCAAACGAGTGGGTAGTTACAATGAAAATCTTACTGGGAGTTCGATGAACATAAAGGAGAAGAAGACTTAATCATACATAAAAGCTTTAGTCTTCCTGCATTCCTAAGAGACTAAGACAGGAATGATAACTATCGGTAACCAGTCATCTTCTAATGTGACTACGAATTCGATCCCAAGAAAACTACAGATTAGTATTATTATACACCGATATTTAAGGTTTAAATCATTATGTTGTTAGAACCCATCGTATGTTTGTGGCCTTAGTGCTATAGAGCCGCAAAATTTCAAAACTTGGTTTTGTAACATTATCAGCTCGCTGAGATAGAGGCGATCTTTGCTTTTAAATCGTTGGTTCATTGGTCGATTGGATCAATACATTTAATTGGAACGTTACAGTTTGTTGGAGGCCAATTGAGTCGCGAATCTGTACGCATCTCATAGGAGGGGGGGTGACCCTAAAGGCAATTCCAGCCAACTGATCGAGTTGCACATTACAGTTTATTTATCCCCTGGAATAAACTTGTTACCTGTTTATGTCGTGTTCACAGATTGCAGTAGAGTGCACTAGAGAACGGTTTAGCCTCGTATATCCCCATCCTAACGTTTTTTATCAATGCAGGGTAAGTTTGTAATCTGTGTAATTTGTGTGACTTCCCCTTATTGTGTTCGGCCTTTTGGTATGAAGTGGTTTTGATATTATTTGCTTATTACTTGAATGGGTCATTCTAATCTCTACATACGTAGAGGTTAGAATGACCCATGAACTATAGTTCATGGATGTTTCTGATCCTTTCCATACTTTACATTAGGCGTTAACTACGGAACCCTATAAGATCAACGTAACCAATCTTGTCAGCTGACTAGATAGTCTGTCAACAGGCAGTTTTAAGCAGAAAATAAACGGGGTGTTTCAGCCGTTAGCCACTCGGGGAGATGAGTGAATTCCCACTCTGATCTAATTCGACCGCGGTTATCGAACCTTTTTGTGATTGCCTCGGTGATGGCTAGTCGTAGGGAAGTGGGGAAAGGCGAGATATGTTTACAACCAAGTCATCATTTAGACTATACAGTGCTTATGTGTCACCTTACATAGCGCGATAAGGGGACGAGATATGAGTGTGGGCCGCTCATCATGGAATTGATTGGAAAGCCCCGTCACTAACTTAGTACTTACTTTTTTAGACATTCTCAAGTGTCTGTCTATTTAGATACGGATTGGTTGCTTGGACAAGATATCCAAAAAAAGGTCTTGCGCATTTGGGATACGGAAGCTGAAACATTCCTTCATCAAAGCATTAGGACGCTCTACACCTGGCCGTAATACATAACATCGGTGAGACTGTAATTTATGGATGACTTTTGAGTGACGCCAGACTGTTCTTGAGAGTATCCACCTAATAACCAGGACCGAATGAAGGTTGTAAACCTGTGTGGAGAATTAAAATTATGATATAAAGTCGGTGATTAAGGTTAGGGTTTTCATCACAAACTGACGTCAGCTAAAATGCCAAAACTCTATTTATCCGAATGAATGAGTGAATTCCGCACCAAAAACCGAGACCTGTTATCTTATACGTGATTGGTTCGTCCATAAATTATAGTCTCGCCGTTTTGGAAATGGTATCCCATCGGTAGTGTACTTATAGCTATTATTGTGTTCGACCTGGATTATTGCAGTTTAACCAAAACTTATTCCTAAGCAACTTCATTTAGACTAGCTGTTTTATTCATCTAGATCAGTTTGGAGCTCTAGCCTAGAAATGGTGCAACACTGTTTAGAGACGTTATTAGATATGGCTCAGGATAGAAGCCAGTGGGGGATCCTGCTGTAACTTTCTTTTAGTTTCTTCATAAAAATGAACGTAACTTCTTTAACTGAAAGAATTCTTTCTGGTTGTATTTTTGCTAACTGAAATGTTTCCCTTTATTATTATTATTATTATTATTATTATTATTATTATTATTATTATTATTATTATTATTATTATTATTACACTCTCATGCACTAATTTCTGCTCGTTGTTGTTATCCTCTTTATTATGCGCACTTTATATTCCTTATCTCTTCACAACCTTATTGTTATCGTGTGGCGCATATGTATTTGGTTCCTCTTTGTACCAATATTTATGTATTCAAATAAATAAATAAATTATTTAATCGTGATGTGAAATTCATAAACGATGGAACGTCATTTATCATTAACATTTGTTAACTACAGTTATCGAACCAAAGGATTTCAGTACTTCCCATAGAAGCTGTAAACGAGTATTGGCTAGTGAGTGAGAGTTTCAAACAAAGCAGGTATATTCAGGTTTCATGTTCCAACTATCAGTGACTTCATCTAATATTAATTTTTGAATTTCTCCAGTCTCCAAATACTAACCGATTGCATTAAGCTTAATCCATCACTTTTATTCTTTTTCTTGGATTTTAGTACATATGTTTTAGTCGAGGCAATGCATTTGCAATATATCGATGTATTTTTGCTTCCTTGTTTGCAACTCTACTCATCCTGGATTATGTATGGATAATTCTACGTGATCCGAAATTTCCAGACTTTCTATCCTGGTGTTTGGATGCATCTCAGTGGGCTTTATTAGGCACAGCTGTATGTTATATAATATTGGCATGTAATGCGGTGTGCATATCTAGACGAAATGGGGAATCAAACAACGAAAGTAAGTATTACAAATCAATAAAGCTGAATTATGAGGGCGATCCAATATATTAATGTGCAAACCAATTCAATGTCATAGAGAACATGTCTGACAAGAATGTTGTCTATCAAACGTAGATCATTAGTTCCATTGACAAAATCATCATTAAGTACTTTAGTTAAGACTGCAATCTAAGCTACGAGTCTCAAAGTTATAGACAAACTGATCAAATTTACGGTAGTGCCTCTTGAATTTTTTCGATAAAATTCGCTCATCCATTTGGCTGGAAAGCATTCTTGTATTACAGTTCGTGATGAAAACACTAAATTTAACTCTAAATTCTGATCCTAAGTTCTAGTCGTATGATTATAAATCACTCTTTCATATATGCTATTTCTGATTGTCTGAACGGGTCAATATTTATCAAGGTCATTTTATGTTATTCGAGCTCACCCTTATAATTCAACTTGACCATAAGATTTAATCGAGTAAATTACGGGGATTAATTCTTTGATGTGAATATAGTTTTCATCATGGATACCAACCCCATTAATGGTACCACTGGACATTTGTTTCGTACGATTTTGGGTTTCCTCAGCCAAAAGCCCAGATCCTTAGCCCTACTAGGGGTTGGATTTGGACTCTTCAATTCATTCAACATCATCATCACTTCTTTACGTTTCTGAGTTAACAAACAATAGTTCTCATTTCCAAATTAAGTTAATAAGACCAAAATTCTGAGCTATTTGGGATATTTACTTGCTCTTCCATTATAGTGCTAGCTGAAGAGTATGTTCGTCTCACAGTCATGTATTCTGTTTATGTGATAGTAGAAAAGCCTGTCTTTGAGTCATTTAATACAGCGCGATTCAAGCTTTAACCTGATGGAGAAAGGTATCCTTTATTTTTAAACATCCTATTAACAGAAGACCTTAATTTCCCATTAATGTTGAACATCGGATTATTCTCGTGATTTTAGTGAAATCCAACAATCTTCACAACCCTATGCTGGCAATTATTACGTGTTCACTAGTGGCAAGCTTCGAGAAAAAGTTTTTGGCGTTCTGGTATGAAGCTGTGATCAGTGGACTAAACAGTCGGGTGTAACAAAGGTACTCACCGAAGACAATAGATGGTCGTGCACCATCCTGGACCGGTTTGAGTTTAGACTTGTACACTATTGGATTCCACCTTAATGGTCTAAAAGTTAGGTGTTCGCGTACGAGACTGTATATTCTGAGTTCTTGGATGTGCACTGCTAAGGAGTCCCGTACTGGGACGAAACGGGTATCCAGTGCTTTCAGGTTTTTAATGGTTGTCTAACTTTGATGGGTTTGTGATTTCAGTGATATTTTTGTTCATTCCTTTTGAAGATCCTTAATATTGTTGGTAAATCATCTGTTTCCATGACTTTTTTACCACATGTTCTTGATAAAGGTGGTGACAGCTTCCTTATTAATTAAATAATTGAGTTAGTCTTAGTATTTCGAAATATTTTCAAAACTAGACTACCCTGTGTGTGTACACGAAAAGTATTTGATTGTGTGGAGTATCGGGGGAACCGATTAACAATGTGTTAATCAAGAAATACCCGAGGAGAAATATTTTTTATTCTACTTTGTTCAACGATTATCGTATTATTGTATCTAGTTGCCTTCGCTATTTGTATACTGTAATTCATGTATCATTTTATCTCATTAGAAATCAGAATCTTTTGTAGTTTAACAGCCTACACAAACCTCTTCTGTACATTATTGAATACTTTGTGTTGTAAATCTGTTTAATCGTCTCTGTACACCAATAGTCGAGGTTTTATTAGTGTAAGATATTAAATCAATTTAGTAAGGTCCCGACTGTAGCTGTTTATTCGACTTAATCGTTGGGCTTGCCTACTGTAATGGCCTAATCGAGCTATATTGGCTGAAAAACTCACTCATTGAAGTCCATCCCAGACAAGTTGGTTGGAGAACTGTAAATCTAAGAGCATAAAACTCATGGTCCATGGGCAAAGTCGTACTGAGGATTGTACAGGGGTGTGGCGGTAGTATTGTGTTCCCCTTAGACAACCAGCATATACAGCGATGCTAATTTCTCATGACGGGAGGTGGGGATTGGAAAAGATCGACCCTAAAAATAGAAAACCTCACAGATTTCCGTCTCTGACTGTAAGGCCCTAAAATTGAACAGCTAACTCATCTAAAAGTACTCTTAAAGTGGCCATATATGACTGATTTTAGGAAGCTATACTTTGGAAACTACGATTTCACTTAGAGGTTGTTGTAATTATCTCTAACTCAGACTTCTTTTCAGTCCTCTCAAGAAGTATACTTCCACACTGTGGGCAACAAGGGAGTGACAACGCCCTATACTCTTCTAACAGTACTTGCGAAAATTTTCACAATCAAATATCTTCGAATTCAAAAAAAAATCGAAATCACCACTGTTTAGCGTTATATGTAGAATGTGAAAGTTGTACACCTATTTCTTTTTTTAATAAAAGAAGTACTAAAGAGGCTTTCTAAATATTCAGTGTAGGTAAATGTGAGATTTGATTAATGCTTATTTACATTAGGTATACTAGTGAAAACTATATAATACACTGAGCTTTCAGTATTGAGTATTAGTAGAATTTAAATATAAATAATAATGAGAATTAAAGTGCCCATTATTAAGAAGTAGCTTAAACTAAGACGAAACTATTGTATATTTTCATGAATTTCGGTCTTTAGTAATAATTCAGCTGATGTCAGTTCACCGCGCGAAAGCTTCGAGATGATGTTTTAACCTGATCATTTTATTTACAAAGAATCGTATTTTTCCATTGTTGATCTTAACAACTACAGTCGATTAGTCAGTCAGTCAGTCAGCCAGTCAGTAACAACGTAGAACTTCGTACGTACGTACGTCAGTTCGAGTTGCCACACCACATTAGCACAAAGATGCAGTGGTCGATTCAAATCCCGTAGTGCTAGATGTAGTAAGAGTATAAGCAGTAATCCGAAAGATTAGCGTTTGAAGATATTATTCAAAGAGTATAATCCAGTGAAATCAATTTGGAGAGAGTAAAAAGAAAGGGATATGAGGAATTCAGAAGTTGGGAGAATACAAAGAGTGGATGCACCTGCGCCATTGCAAACGATTTTGAGCCATGTCATTCAAGGTCTCTAACCATCGGTTGCTATGATCTCGCGATTACAGTCGATTAGTCTCTATTAGTATATGCGCATCCTAAGCGGATCATCGTGATATGTCATTTATTCATAAGTTTTTATCATTAAATCTGGATAGTGGCTAGTCAGTGGAATTTTGATGGAGTTTTGTTCTCTGAGTTGGATGGTTTGGTTGTGGAGTTTTCATCGTTCTTCTGAACGACATCATCATCACAAACTTCAGGTAGAAGTGAAGTGTTCGAATTTCTCCTTATGTGGTTCACAGCTTGTCCTGTACGTCTCGATGTTGATTGGTTCTTGTTGACATCGAGACGTACAGGACAAGCTGTGAACCACATAAGGAGAAATTCGAACACTTCACTTCTACCTGAAGTTTGTAATGATGTCGTTCAGAAGAACGATGAAAACTCCACAACCAAACCATCCAACTCAGAGAACAAAACTCCATCAAAATCATCCACCTGAGCTACAGATCATCTCCACCATCTCATAGCCAGTGGGATGTACAACACACATTTCGTCTTCTTCGAGACTCGTCCGCTGGATATGCTTTCATCCCAGTGTTAATGTTCACACATTTGGATTTGAACTCAATACCTTTTTCTTTAAACAACCAACGTGTCATCCGATTAACTACTGATTTTACTTGTTTTTACTGGAAGAAAAAAGAAGCAACCAGTCATACCATGAATTAGATCTTTTGCGTTAACTTTCCTAAAGATTTTGCTGTACTCAAACAAATGTATTTTGATTATCATTTAGGGAATTACAATAAAATTTCACACTCGGTTGTATATCAAATATATCGTTTTTCTTCGCTTTTAACCTATCAATCTTACAGTCTTTAGTGTTTTTAATTTCCGAAAATGTTTATTTATTTATTTATATACATAAACATTGGTACAAGGACATGCCGAATATATATGCGCCATACTAATCATTGGGTTTGTGTGACGACTGAGATACTGTCCGGGTGCCCAAACCGGAGTAGGTGGTTTTCTTAGCGGGCCACCCCCGAGTTTCTGACCTGAAGGTCCAATCCATAAAACAGTGGAGCAACGTTAGGAAGTGCAGTTCCATGGTAGCCGGTGACCAATAATATGTCCATACGCCCTTTGTTTTCTTAGGATCCTGGAGTTCATGTGCACAATTGGTTCTGAATCAGGGTTTTCTGACTCCCCTACGTGGGTCCTCCGTACTCACCAAGACACAGTTTAAGCGCTGGACATTCGCTTTTCATCCCCTCAACTTCGTAAACAACATCCCTGCCTCGAGGAGGCACTGAGTAGGACTTCTCTGTCAGTGACTGTATACATGTGACCATGTGAGAGCATTTCGAGAGGGAGAATAGTCTCTACCCATCATCGGCCGTACCAGAGTATTTGGGGGACTTAAACAGAAATAGGTATTGAGCAAGTGTCAAATCCATATAAAAATCGAGTTAATACTTTCTTTAACTAATTAGCTAATTCATTCATATCATTTTAATCACTGATCATCAATGATACATATCAATATTATTGATTAGATCAAATATGTCCTTCACTTTGTTGTTGTTATAAATACTGTTTAATGAATATATGATATTGAATACATCTTACTATCTACAATGAAAGAGTATGTATATGTGTATATTTATACATGTACACAATGTAATGAAAAGAATAATAATAATACTAAATAAAGATACACATTCGATGAGTATATTCTCTGTTGTAATACAATAATTTCATATTGTTAGAAAGTTTTTATGAAATAAGAATTATTTCTCTCTATGAAACAACGTCTATTTTATTACTAAGAACATCAACATAATCAAGTAGGGATATATGATTGACCTTGAGAAGAAAATGAAATAGATTGTTCAAAAGTTTTGTTTTATTTTTTAAATTAAAAGAAAAATAAAACCACACCCAATTTAACCAAGAAATAATATACACAATATTGCTATTAGCCAATTGTGTTCTTTTATTATTTTGTTTTAAAGCTTATAAGTTAATTATAGTTTTAAGTAGTATAAGTGTAAACTGTGATTGTATTGAGCTACAATCTTATTTAGTATTTTAAAAGAAAAAAGAAAAGCTGTCAACTGATTTATTATTCTGCTAATTGATTAGAAATTAGGCATCACTAATTGGATATTTTACTATCAGGAGGGGTTTTGTGAAGATTGTAATAATTCCAACAGTTGAGATCATGAGTCAATTGAAGCTAGACCGCCATGGAAAACCTGGAAGAACTGGACAGCGGTTTCGTCCTATTGTGGGGCTCCTCGGCAGTGCGCATCCACGACCCCGCCTCGCGAGATTCGAACCCAGGGCCTATCAGTCTCGCGCCAGACGCTTAACCAACTAGACCGCTGAGCCGGCATCCAACAGTGTTAACGTCTAACTTCAACTAATCCACGGAGTTGAGCGACACATCCACCATTGTTATCAGTGAGTTACTATCTCGCAACTGACCCGGTTGATCTCCACTGGTCACTGCTTCTCACTAGAACTCCACGATATATATAGGTCCTGGGTTCGAATCCCGCGAGGCGGGGTCGTGGATGCGCACTGCTGAGGAGTCCCACAATAGGACGAAACCGCTGCCCATTTCTTCCAGATTTTCCATGGTGGTCTAGCTTCAATTGACTCATGATCTCATCTGTTGAAATTACTACAATCTCCACAAAACCCCTCCTGATATTTTACTCTTAATTTTACATTTTTTTAACTCTACGAATTCCTGTCTCCTCTTGTTCTATGGTGTAGAAGTAGGTTGGAAGCAAGCTAGGGGCGCCCAGATCAAAATATGACACAAATCTATGAAGTCACTGACAAGTGAACTGAGCCATGTTGGTAGGTGTAGACTACCTGGTTGAGGTCCGCGAGACGATAGCAACCGATGGTTAGAGACCCTAAATGATATGGCTCAAAATCATTTGCAATGGCGCAGGTGCACACACTTTTTGCATTCTCCCAACTTCTGAATTCTTCATATCCCTTTCTTTTTTCTCTTTCCAAATTGATTTCACTGGATTATACTCTTTGAATAACATCTTCAAACGCTGATTTTTCTGACTACAGCTTATAATTTTACTACATCTAGCACTACGGGATTTGAATCGACCACTGCATCTTTGTGCTAATGTGGTGTGGCAACTCGAACTGACGTACGTACGTACAAAGTTCTACGTTGTTACTGATGGACTGACTGACTTGTTTTCCTACAAGTCAAACATCCAACCATGATTTATAGCATAATAGAAGTTAGTAGTGTAAATTCACTTGTAGCACTATTTTTTTCATTGTACTATCATAAATGCTTGAAATATTTACTTGACATTTTGAAGTCTTGAAATGTTTTTACTCTTAATTGATGTTTTATTTGTTGTTATAGAGTAAAATTTTATGATTTAATGACTGAATTTTCAATTATTAAAATGAACAAAGAGAATGCTGGTTGATAAATAATATGCAATAATACAATATAACTAAATGACACCTGTTCCCTAGAACGAATTATTGACGTAATCTCCTAAATAGTTGGAAATTAAGGACGAAATTACTAGTCAAAAAATAGGTTTTTGTTTGTTGTAAAATGACATGTTTCTATAAAAGATTTAACATAAAAATAACGTGATTAGGCGTCATAAGCGATTGGAAAATATCAGTTTTGTAGGTTTATTCACTCTTCAATGAACAAACACTTGAATGTTAGACTTCCACGTCAATATCAACCGTGTACTAAAATTTATTTTTAAATTAAACCGATTATTTCACATTCGTATAACGGGGAGAATAAAAGTTATTTTCTGTTCTCAGTCAGTCTTGAGTGCTGTCAGAGGTATGAGGGCAATTATCACTTCCCGGTTGCCCACACCGTGGAAGGGTTCTTCTGCAGGTACCTGAAAAGGAAATTGGATTAGAGGTGGTCTTAGTAACCTGGGAGCGTGACCGCAGTGCCCAAGGACAACTGCTTGAGGTCGGTCACACACGACCTTCTTGTGGGTAATTTTTGTGTTAGCTCCGTACTTGTTGAGACCTTACCTCCGGAGACGGATATCCGTGGGATGAGGCGAGGTGTGCATTTGTAGGGTCGACCTTTTCTAACCCCACCCCTCCTTGTGGGAAGGCAGCATCTCTATCATGCTGGTTGTCTGAAGGAAACACCTTACTGCTGTCACACCTCTGTACAGTCAGCAGTACGACTTCGCCTTCGGACCTTGGGTTTGTTGCTCTTAGTCTTACCGCTCTTCAACCGACCTGTCTGACATGGTAGGACCTTGAGGAACGATTGTTCCAGCCAGTATAGCTCGGTTGCTTCATCACGATAGGCAAGCCCGACCACCACGTCAAGGTAGCAACAACGGTCGGGTATTTTCTGTTCTACGTAACAACATATCATAATACGATAATAGGATCGGTGACGGAGATTATACTGCCATTAGACTGGATACTCAATTGATATGCCATTCACAGATACACGACTCACGACCAAATATAGAGAGCCAGTGTATAGGCTAGACGTTGCTTCATGCAATACAATTACAAGCAGTGTAAATTCAGTGAGTTTAGAGTAAAATTACTAATATGAAGGACAGTTGGCAAGCTGGGTATCCTGCAATCCACGCCCAGTGACCAATCACATCTTACTTTCACTAGCTACACATATCATACATACTATAGTTTCAATTAAAAAAAATTCGTTTAGTAGTTTAGTTTCTATTTATTTATATCAACTTTGTTATTTGTCTTTGTAGCTACGATTCCTTATAAATTTGTTTGGCTATTATATACATGCAGCGTGAATTGCGTGTATTCAACAATGACACTGCATTGGATGTTTAGTGGTCATCAATCTTGTAAGTAATTTTTCATAAATAATAGGTATCGATAGTTTGTTTATCTTTTAAATTCATCTTAATATATCTACATTGACATTTTGGTGTTTAGCCTACTGGTTAGTCAGTTAATCATAAACAACAAGGCCAGACACATGTACATCGATTCAAGTTGTCACATCATATTAGCACAGTGAAATGACAAAATAAATCCCAGAATAGTAGTAGTAACTGTATCAGTGGTACTTGAACGGATTAGGTCAGTCAGTCAGCTACAACGTAGGATCCGGCATATATATGCATCGCTCCAGGTTGCCACATCTCATTAGCACAACAAGATGAACATCGAATTCATATAAGTAGTTAATTCAATGGTGCTAAAATATAAAGAAAAGGATTGCATATGAGCATATAGTACAGTAAGAAACAATTAGTTGGTAGAAAGAAAGAAAGCAATTTTAATCTCATAGTTTAAGGGAAGACCGAGAGTGTATACAAACGGATTAGTTATCGGAATTGTGATTCAAGAAGAAAGCATGAACTCGCAGAATAAAAAAGCGTACGATCATTTCTAGACTCAAGGTCTAAGCGAAGACAAAAAGTGAACGCATCTTCTACTTACTACTATTTCTCAGCTACGCTGCTTAACGTTTCCAACATTTGGTTAGAGTAATAGTGAGGACACCAACAAGGCAGTCTGCACCTATCTGCACATCTTTGTACAACAACCAGTGATTTTGTGGACCAATCTAACGCCCTGAGTTGACCTCTCTGTTTTCCTCACAACCTACTTGTAAGGAAGCAAACAACGTGTACCGAGATAGATGCCAATTGGATATACGTAACACTTGTCTCAACCACTAAGGGCTAGATGAACGTGAGATTAGCTGTGATCAATGATCAGCTAATGTAAATATCTCAGTTCTACAGGAAGTCAGTCATAACTCAGTGGTGATGCTTTAGACGGTAAAACAGGATGATTCAGGCCCAGATTCACGAAGGAGCATTAATTTCTTCAAGACCAAATATGCACCTTACTGACGAGTGCCAACCAGTATAAACCTAAGATCAAGGTTTCTTGATAATTATCTCCAACTATCTTAATAGGTAAAATAACCATATTTTTGTGGAGTTACATTGAATAAAAAATTGTATTCCTGACGTTTCATCACGTAACAACTCACTTCTTCAGAGCAAATAAATAACCGAAATAAAATTAACACAAGTTTAAGTGGTACAAAGGAAACAATGAAGAATATTTTTAGTACAGTCAGAGTTATAATAGGTCCCGACCGTTGTTGCTACCTTGACGTGGTGGTCGGGCTTGCCTATCGTGATGAAGCAACCGAGCTATACTGGCTGGAACAACCGTTCCTCAAGGTCCTACCATGTCAGACAGGTCGGTTGAAGAGCGGTAAGACTAAAAGCAACAAACCCAAGGTCCGAAGGCGAAGTCGTACTGCTGACTGTACAGAGGTGTGACAGCAGTAAGGTGTTTCCTTCAGACAACCAGCATGATAGAGATGCTGCCTTCCCACAAGGAGGGGTGGGGTTAGAAAAGGTCGATCCTAAAAATGCACACCTCGCCTCATCCCACGGATATCCGTCTCCGGCGGTAAGGCCCTTCGAAGAACGGAGCTAACACGTCGAAAACCTTCCACGAAAAGGCCGTGCGCGACCGACCTCAAGCAGTTGTCCCTTGGGCACTGCGGTCACGCTCTCAGGTCACTGAGACCACCTCTAATCCAATTTCCTTTTCAGGTACCTGCAGAAGAACCCTTCCACGGTGTGGGCAACCGGGAAGTGATAACCGCCCTCATACCTCTAACAGCACCCAAGACCACTGTATTCATAATCAACCTTCCTCTTCAATTCCTATTATTCCTCCTACATCGACTTTCAACCCTAAACTTCCTCCTTCGGCTTCCTCCTCAAGTATCACCATAGCCAACGATTCTAGTGCTCAAAACTCTGTCCCAGGTCTACTGAAACCTCGCTCCAAACTACACATTGGAGCTTTCAACGTACGCACTCTATGTCAAATAGGTCAACAGGCTTCCTTGGCTAAAACCCTAGAGTCTCTTTCCATTGATGTATGCTGTGTCTCTGAAACACGCATACAGGATCCCAGTGTGGTCATTCACTTGACCTCACCTCGGGAGAACGGAGAGCCAACGAGATACACCCTCCGTGTATCTGGTGACCCGATGGCCAGTTCTCGTGGACTGTCAGGTGTAGGCATAGCACTAAGCATGAGGGCCGAACAAGCACTGCTAGAGTGGATCCCCGTCAACAGTCGTCTATGTGTTGTTCGGCTGAACGGCTACGTAAGAACTCGGAAGGATAGGGACACACGTCGTTGCCTTTTTGTCGTTTCTGTCTACGCTCCCACTGACTGCAGCCCAGATGAAGTGAAAGATGAATTTTACAGAAAGCTTTCTGAACTTCTTCAGAAAGCTAAACGCTCAGACATAGTACTCGTAGCAGGTGATTTTAATGCTCAGATAGGTAGCTTAAACCAAACAGAAAGGCATTTAGGTGGATATTTTAGTATTCCGACACAGCGAACAGATAATGGTGATCGTCTGCTGCAGCTATGCTCAGACAATCGTTTATTTTTAGCAAACACAAATTTTAAGCATAAGGAGAGACATCGTCTAACATGGCGACCCCCTACACCAAACCAACGATGGACTCAAATAGACCATATTGCCATCAGTCATCGTTGGAGAGGGTCGGTAGAAGATTGTCGCTCATTCTGGAGTACCTGCTTGGACTCCGACCATGCCCTAATACGGGCACGCGTCTGCTTGCGCCTCACTGGACGCAAAAAAGCCTCAGTAAAAAGACCCGTTAGAACTGAGTTGAGTAACGAGAAAACCAAAAGTAGGTTCCAGGAACAACTGAGGTCACGATTAGGTAGTTATGAAGACGAGGCTGACCCAGATGTTGATTGGAAGAGCATACAATCAGCTGTGGAAACAGCAGTGACATCTATTAGTGACTTAAACCACAGAGTTGCAAGGAACCAGTGGATTTCTTCAAGGTCTGTCACACTGATGGATTCTCGCAAACTCGTCCCATCAGGTTCTGAACATGATGAAGAGCGTAAACAAATCAGATCTAGGTTAAGGAAAAGTCTAAGGAACGACCGTGAGCAGTGGTGGGTAACGAAAGCAAAAGAGATGGAAAAGGCGGCGACTATAGGGAACACAAGACAGCTTTACAGACTAATAAAAGAAACTGGAATTAATAAGTCAAGTGTAAGTGAGATTATTTCGGAAAAAGATGATACTCTCATCTGCTCCCAGTCCAGACGTTTAGAACGATGGGCGGAACATTTTAGAGAACAGTTCAGCTGGCCTTCAGCTACTCTACAACTACCCTCCATTCCCAGACAATGTGAATGGAACATTGAAGTAGGTCCCCCAACTCTTGCTGAAGTTCAAAAGGCTATAGTTAATCTGAAACGAGGAAGGGCAGCTGGTCCAGATGGATTGGCTCCAGAGGTCTTTAAGGATGGTGGCCCAATTTTAGCGATTAGGTTGACTAATATTTTAGCTAAGATCTGGGAATTAGACTTTATCCCATCTGACTGGTCGCAATCACTTATCGTCCCAATATATAAGAAAGGGTCAAAATCATCCTGTGACAACCACAGAGGGATTAGTTTAACAAACATAGTATCTAAAATACTAGCCTCGATAATTATCAGACGCCTAACTAAGACTCGTGAACTGCAAACACGAGAGAACCAAGCTGGCTTTAGACCTGGTCGTGGCTGCATCGACCACATATTCACCATTCGTCAGGTTCTAGAACACAGGCATACCTATCGGCGTCCGACGATGGTGGTCTTTCTTGACTTAAAAGCAGCGTTTGACTCTGTAGACCGCGAGATTCTGTGACAGTGTCTGTCATTGAAAGGCGCACCTCAGAAGTACATAAACCTTGTGAAGGCTCTTTACTCGAACACTACTAGTCGAGTCAGGGCTTATGGCGAACTGTCATCTACTTTTGCAACTTCAAGTGGTGTCCGTCAAGGTTGTCCACTTTCTCCATTTTTGTTTAACTTCATCATAGACCTATTGATGGAAATAACACTCTCGTCGACTGAATTCTCGGGTATTGATCTCCTTCCAGGAGGTCCACTTATCGACTTAGAATACGCAGATGATATAGTCCTGTTTGGTGAAGACGCTGACAAAATGCAGAGTCTTCTGGTAGCACTAAGCAACAATGCCAGAATGTTTGGGATGCGCTTCTCTCCCTCTAAATGCAAGTTGTTGCTTCAGGACTGGTCTGGGTTAACACCTGAACTAAGGATAAGGAGTGAAGTAGTCGAACGCGTCGACAACTTCACTTATCTTAGAAGTCTGATCAGCCCTAATGGGTTGGTGTCTGACGAAATCTCAACACGGATTCGAAAAGCTCGTTTGGCTTTTGCCAACTTACGTCACCTTTGGCGGAGGCGAGATATCCGTCTATCAATAAAAGGACGAGTATACTGCGCGGCAGTCCGTTCTGTCTTACTTTACGGCAGCGAAACATGGCCATTGAGAGTAGAAGACACTCGTAAGCTACTAGTATTTGACCACAGATGCCTTAGAAATATTGCTGGCATCTGCTGGGATCACTGGGTAAGTAATAGTGAGGTTAGACGCAGGGTATTAGGGAATGATGGTAAATCAGTTGATGAGGTTATGAATCTTCATCGACTGAGATGGTTGGGCCACGTATTACGTATGCCTGAACACCGATTACCACGACGTGCAATGCTAACCGGTGTAGGGGTTGGTTGGAAGAAAGTTAGGGGCGGCCAAACCAAAACGTGGCATCAGTGCTTGAAGTCACTAACTTCTAGTCTGAGTCATGTTGGTAGATGCAGACTACTTGGTTGGGGTCCGCGTGACTATCGTAACCAATGGTTGGAGACTCTTGGTGACATGGCTCAGAATCGATCACAATGGCGTCGGTGTATACACTCCCTGTCTTCCCTTAAACTAAGAGATTAAATCACT